AACAGACGAGAGAGGGCCATGTATCCTCGAACAGATGGTGCAGATCAACACGTGATGAGTATTTAAACATGGTGTTCCAAGGAACCCTAACCCTAGCCGCACATACCCTCGCCGGAGAAAAAGAACCAAACGCTAGAGAAGGAGACCGACTACCGGCTGTTGCTGCACTAGAGCCACCACCGACTGCCAAACAAAGTAAAGTTTTCCCCTCCTTGCTCGAAATTCAATTCAGAGCCTCCCTGTGGCCATATCGGAGCAAAAGGGATGGTGGATGAGCTGAAAACTGCGGGTAAAGCCCAGTGGAACAGCTGCGGCCAAAACCCTAAACCCTTTCCAATGACTCCCAACCCGTTTCCCATTTCACACAATATTTTGACTATTATGTTGATCGTCTCTTTTTGTGCAAGTTAGCCAAAAAAGAAACCCCAGCCGCGAAGGAGAACTGGCAGAGCCGTCACACTCGGAGACCCCCCCTCGTTGCCGGTAGGTTTGATTTTTTAATTTTTCTGGTCAACTGAGGCTTTTTAACATGTTTTTTTCGAAGGGATGCGTGTAAAACCAGCCAAAACTTGTCAGACCGAGGTGAACCAGTGCTGGAACCGACGCCAGAACCCTAAAATTGGCCGAAAATAGTTTTTAATACCGATTTTGAGTTTCTGTGGTATTTTTGAGTAAGTGACGAGTATTTTAATTTTTGTGAAAAAAATTCAAAAAACCTGGGGCCTGTCAGGAGGCATAGTGGGTAGCACATCATGTCGAAACATCGATCTAGGTAAGAATTTCTCACCCTATTTCCTGTTACGGTAAATTGAGGCTTAATAATCGAATATCTTGAATTTTGTGAAAAATTAAAAAAATTCTAAAAATAATTACAGGTCACTTGTGGAGTCAGAATCGATTAGTTCATATTTATCTTAGTTCATACTAGTAGAATTACACACAGAAAGAGACCACTTAGGAAATAGAATCGAACTTCAAAGTACAGTACCCTCAATTGTTTAACTAAATGAGAGAGTAACAAATTTAAGAGACCAAATTTTTCTCAAGGAGGGAGAGTAGTAATGCCCAGGCTCGAAAATCGGCCTGTGATGATTTTATTTTATTTTATTTATTTATAAAAAATTATAAAAATAATTATTTTAATTTAATTTTGTTGAATTTTTGAGAAAAAAATAAATTAAGCTCGAAATTAAAAATAATTTTAGAGAAAATTGGTGAAAATTTGAATTCGGGAGGTGATTTTGGAAGAAAATTTGAAAACAGGGGTTAAAATACAAAAAAAAAAAGTTTAGCCACGTGTGACGACCCATTCAGCAGCCCCAGCGAACCAGAGCACGCCACGTGGTAACCTTGCTGACATCGGCACCACGCGGGCAATCACGCGAGCAATCCACATGCACGACGATATGACGGTCTAAATCTCATCCCACGCATGTGAACGACCCAAATGTGTTCTCTCTTTAGGCGCAATCGAATGGTCAAATTCAATATGATCGTGCGACCCAGATTTATTTTTCAAATAAGATAAATCCAACGGACGAGAGAAATCCACGTATCTCCGAATGGACGGTCCAGATCAACACATTATGAATATTTAAATATCGTGTTCTAGAGAACCCTAACCATAGCTGCATCTGCCCTCACTGAAGAAGAAGAACCAAATGTCGGAGAAGGAGACCCATCACTAGCCACCACGCCAACGGAGCCACCACCGACCATAGAAAAAGTAAAATTTTTCCCTCATTGCTTGGAATTCAATTATGTGCCTCCTTATGGCCATAGTAAAGCAAAATAGACGGCGGGTGAGGCAAAACCGCAGGCAAAACATAGCTTAGCCGTAACGGCCAAAACATTAAACCCTCTCTGATGACCCCTTTCCTGTTTTCTGTTTCACACGATTCTTTGACCATTGTGTTCATCATCCCTTTTTGTGCAGGTTAGCCAAAGAAGAAACCCCAGCCGTGAAGGAGAACTGGCAGAGCCGTTGCACCCGAAGACACTCCCCGCCGGTAGGTTCGGTTTTTTATTTTTCTTGCAAACTGAGACTTCCTATCATAGTTTTCCACAGGGATACGTGTAAAACCGACTAAAATTGACCAAAATCGGCAAGGTCAAGGCGAACCGCTGCCGTGGGTGATAGAGTCGCCGCTGAAGCGGGAACCCTAAAATTGGCCGAAAATATTTTTTAACACCAATTTTGGGTTTTTAGAGTATTTTTAGGTACACAACGAATATTTTAATTTCAACAGAAAAAATTCAAGAAATTTGGGATCCGTCAGGAGGCGTAATGGGTAGCATAACATGTCAAAACACTGATCTGAGTATGAATCCCTCACCCAATTCTCTATTACAGTGAATTGAAGCTTAATAATAGAATATATTTTATTTTGTGATAATCTTAAAAATAATTATAGGTCAAGTGGAGGGGGAACCGATGAGTTCATATTTGCCCTAGTTTGTCTGTGTTGCCTATTCATTTTCCTATGCTGCCTAAATTGCTTATTGTTCTGCCGTGTACTTTAATTTTTACTTTTAATTATTTT